ACTTGGAAGTTGACAACCTAACTATTTCACTAGGTCATCACATCTGAAAATTTGGATTTTTATCTATATTATAGTAATTATTTTTTAATGATTATGTTAAGATACTTATAATTATAATTACACTAGTATGGCTGATAAGTTATAAAGTATATGTATATTCTAATTATACAAAAAGATGTAAATTTATACTAAAAAATATAAATTTAAAATAAGTTTTATAATTATATAAATCTGTAAAAACTAATAAAACAGAAACTTATTTAAGTAAATCTAAATAGAGAAATAATACAGATCTTTAATAATATTATTATAAAGACTAAATTTAAAAAATAAATACCAATGCAGAAAAGCCAGACAGATATGCATCTCTAAATAAAAAGTACTATTAATCAGATTGTCAAAATCAAACCAAAGAAAAAGAATATCAGATTAGATTTCAATATACTAAGAACAAATTACAGTTTTACCAAATTATTTGAATTGAAAATTTGAGAACAACCAAAAATATACTAAAGTACTAAAAATATATTATAAAGTAATGCCAGAATTTGAGTAAATTTTATAAGAGCATAACTCTGTTAATAATCTATAGAATAAGTAGGTTAGTTAACAAAAGAATATTCTAAACTCTACAATCAGATGTTAGTTTTAAAATATATAATAACCTAACAAATGTACAAAAAAAAAACTCAATATTGAGTTAGAAAACACTTAGTTGTACAAGAATTAGGTAACTATTGTTTGGTATAGTATAAAAATCAAAATATTTAAATAAATAATCTTCTAGTAGATTATAAATATGCCAACTAGTATAGAACCTACAAGTAAACTACTTAAATAAGTAATCAAAAGTTGCATGTGTAGCTAGTTGCACAAGTTATATATATAATTAAAAACACAATAAAGGCAAGAAACTGCTATAAACATTGACCTTAATAAAAGAAATATATATATATATTAAATCTTTTATATTTTTATCAAATTATTATACTGTTATAAAAGAAAATAAAACTATACAATAAATTAGTAAAATTTACTATATAGATTTTATTAGAATAAAATCTGTATTTAACTAAGTTTTTTATTATACAAAAACTATTATCTTATAAGTATGAAATAATATGCAAGAGCATTATTTTAAATAATGGCCTGAATTAGGTTTAATTTAGACCAAATTTCAAAATTACACCCCTATGCGTTATTTGCGCTTATATGGTAAATATTTTATAAATTATATTAAAATATACTTTAATATATAAAATAGCTAAAATCTGCTCTAATATGTAAAATATACTAATAATAAGTTTTGAATATATTCAAAAGTTTAATTGAACACTAAACAGTTTTGAACATGTTCAATTTAGTTTTGTTCTGTCTAATTTTTGGGTAGCTATCAATAGAAAAACATTTGAAAAAATATTTACCTTAACTTTCATAGCCCATATTTTAATGGATTTTGATACTGTCTTAATGATTCTTTTGACTATTAAATTATCAAGATAGCATTAAAATCCATCAATATATGGACTATGAAAGTTAATGTAAATATTTTTTTCAAATGTCAATCTGCCTTATTTCTGCCCACATGATTAAATAATGCTAAATTATATGATTAAATACTATAATTAATCTTTATAGTATTTATATTTTTAACTAATTAAATTGCATAATTAAGGTTAATCATTTGTCCAAATGTCAAAACTTTAAATTTTGGTTTTTGGCCAAAATATTGTCCAATTGCCAAAACTTGTTCAATTGTTCAAATGCCATGCCGTCGCTTACAGTGTTGGCATTTGGACTATGTCCAATCAAAATTTCATTTGGACATTTGGACATGGACATACATACGTATAAAATTTTATATTTCCAAATTTGTCCAAATAAAATTTTATATATGTCCGAATTCCAACACTGACCGCATATGCTATACGATAAAAGACGGATTTATGCTCGTATTATGCTATTGCAGATTTTCGGTGGCCTAACCTATGACCAAAAGTCATATATGACCGAGGTTATTTTAACACTAATATCGAATCCATTAACAGAATACATATGAGTGATGGTCTGTAAAATGTAAATATATTCACTAACCAGAAACGACCCTGATGAAATCTGATGAAATATATCTGATTATTCAGTAACACATTTATTACATAATATGTTATTATTTTTAAGTTTGCTCTGCTTTTTGATCAAAATAAGACGTGTAATAGAAGCGACTAGAACGGTTAGAATTGCGTATTTATCACATTTAACTTATTTTTACGGTCAGATTCATCAGGGGTCGTTTCTTGATAGTGAATCGATGTACAGGTTTTCATTGGGCTGCCCGTCACTCATATAGGATCTTTGCTATGAAAATCAGCCTTCTATGTCCGATGAATTTTACCGGACACCGGACCTATAAATTTGACTGGTGTACATTGACCTATTAACACATATATAGCAAAAATTGGCAGTATATTACTGTCCTAATTATTTGTTTGCTTGACTTTGAAAAGAGGTTTCTTGTTTCAAAAAGAAAAAAAATTAGACAATTTCAGAAATTTAAATTTCATCGGACAACACTTGTCCGATTGCCCTTGACATTTTCCGATCGGGCTAATTCGGACAAACTTAGACCAACATACCGGTTCTTACTTGCGGCAAATCATCATTTGCCTTTATGAATTCGAATCAGTAAAGAAAAAGATGATTTACCGAAAGCATGTTGGCCTAAGTTTGTCCGAATTAGCCCGATCGGAAAATGTCGAAGGGTGATTTAATAGCAAAGATCCCATATCTAGAATTTGGGAGTATTCTAGAAAAGTCAAGACGCAGTAAAAAAAAAGCTTAATCTACTTATAAAAAATTTGATTACCGCCTTCCAAAATAGTAATGTAACTATAACTTATTCGTATTATTATAAAATTATGAGATCACAAATTTTTTAAAAATATAAAATGCGATAAATTCACTTAAACTTTTTTTTTACTGATTCTTTTTTTTTATTTTACTTTGGAAATATGGAAGATTCTGAAAGTAATGTACATTTAAAAACCTTTGTGCAAATAAACCATGATGACATTATATTACCTGGAGAACTTCATCGTACCAATCAAGACATTGGAATCTGTATATTTGTTCATGGGTCTGGATCTAGTAGATCTAGTCCAAGGTATGAATATTCAAAAAAGATATAGTAGATTTAATGGGACATTTGATTCTATTAAATGAAACCACGTTAAAAATCAGGATGTATACTCGGATTCATGACTTATAAGGTTCCTATTGTTTTTGTTTTGTAACTAAGATAATGATAAGTTTTTTTTATGTTGGACGTTATATATCTTTGCTTTATTAAAAATTTTTCTTTTTTTTCACGTAGCGCGGTTATAATTTTAGAGATGTAAAATGGTTTGATCGGCAAATGATAAAAAAGCTTTAACTAGTTTACCCAATGTTATTATACAGTTCATATATGAGAAGTACTTCGTTGAGTTTTGAAAAATTGTTTGATACTAACAGAACAGTAAAACTAAAAAACAATAATAATTTAAAATTTCGTATTATACTTGTAAAATTCTTAAGTGAAAAAGAAAAATAATATTCAGCATACATATTTATTTTTATTTTTTTCTTTAACCATTTCTAACAACTTCATGTATTCTATCTAATATGTACACTATTAATTTTATAATATTGAACAACTAACAGAAATCAGTAAGTATCACCTTCCGTTTCAGAACGAAGAAAACGCCAAATTCGCTGCCTTGTATTTGACCAGATGAAATTCAGCTTATTCTGCAGCATATTTCGCATTTTTCACATGATAGTTTATTGTTTCTGATTCATGTAAACGTTAATCTTTAGATATGTTGCGAAAGTGCTTCGATCCCATGGTATTGCCACATTTTTGTTGGACTTGCTTACTCCCCAAGAAGAACAGATTGATGAAATGACAAGACATTTACGATTCGATATAGGTTAGTGTGATATATCTATAGTTTTGATGTTTAAATCTCTATCCTATTATTTTTATTGGA